TGGCGAGCACATGTGCCCTGTAGCAAAAACCTCGACAACAACAACAACAAAAAAAAAAAAAAAAAAAAAGAAGGGATTCAAATATCTATTATTAGAGGGCTGCTGTCAGAAGCAAATGGACCACAATAATCTGTTGGAGCCTCCTTAATGACACCACCTTGGTTTTAGTTTTGTGTCAGTTCTGGGTACACTGTATGATATAGGTATGTTTGTAGTGTTGAATGTTCTGATGGCTGGCTCTCTTAAAACCTTGAAATTTGGGGAGAAGGGTGAGAGGGAGGGAACCAAGGGGAAGAAGAAAGAAGCGAAACATTTAATGGATATAAAATGGAAAGAAATCTGTTGACTATAATATGTAGTCTATCTTTGGATAGATATGCTGTGTATTCATGATGGGAAAATTCACTTGGTATGCTATAAAGATACATAGTGATTGAATGTAAAAATAATAATGATAATAATAAAGGAAAGAAAAAGAAAAGCTAGTAAACCAATACTATTGAGACAAGCATGACATTGTCTGACCAATAAAACCCTGGATAAATAAATACATAGCAAACAAATTAAACTTTTACTTTTATTAAACTTGTGTACGCATACACTTGAAAGAGTTATCCAGATTTACAAACTTTGTTAACTATCAGCTTTCATAAGCCTTTTCCCCTTACCATCTCAACTTCCCTTTCTTCCAAGGAAACCACTTTTAACACTTCTAGATGATTCTGTTAGTATTTCCCTCCATATTTCTAAATAACATGGATATATTTGCTTCTTGATTTTTCAGTTTCAGACATTTCCTTTTGATATCCCACAAGGAAGATTAACACTCTACAGCATTTCCTCTTTAATCTCCAAAATACACAAATTTCCACTTATTATGCCTCATTCTCTCAGTATAGATATTTAAAATTTGTATTAGATAAATATTCAACATGGACAGATTCTGTGTTCATTCTGATTCTGTGTACAGTTTAGGGCTAAGCCTTGGGGTGAATGTTGATTACCTTTCCTTTCTTACACATTTTTCAAAAATGTTGGGACTGGCAGGTGAAATTGTGGTTAAGGCACTAGGTTTCCACATGGTCGACTGCAGTCTGAGTCCCAGACCTGGCAGTTTGCTTTCTCACTTTTTCCTTTCTCTCTCAGTCTCTGATTAAATTAAAAAATAATAATAGCATATAAAATTGAATAAATAGTTCTTTGAAAAAGTATTTATGGCAACTAGAATTATGTTTATTTCTTTAGTTTTCTATGTGTTTCTCACAAATTCACTCCCAGTTGTCTCAATTTCTTAATACTTTCATTCACCTCAGCTAGTCAACAAGTACATTTTTTTTTTTTTGAGAGGTTTTTGCTATAGGGTGCGTGTGCTCGCCAGACAGACAGAGAGACAGAGAGACAGAAAGCGAGAAATCACCCCCCAGGGGGGATGGCCATGCCACAATTCATTCTCTTCCATTCTCCTCCTGGGATCTTGGGCACACACGCACACATGCCCGGCGTGAGTTTTAAGCCACCGAGTCTGGGACTCAAACTGTGGTCGACTACGTGGGAGTCCAGCGACATAGCCATTACGCTAACTGCTGGTTCCAACAAGTCCATTTTTAAAAAGTAAATCTCTCCTAGAATTTCCAACCAATATCATCCTGAACAGGCTGCTGTAGACTCTTCCAAACAACCCTTAAGCCTGTGAATACTCTATAACTTTCTGAATTAGATCTCCTGTTCTTGGTTCTCACTCTTACCTTTCTTATATAAATGTCTTGCTCTGAAGTATTAATAGTACATGTTCTAATCATTTTCTGATAAAGATTGTGAGAAAGATAAATTTTTGAGATATTCCATGCTTTTAAAATACTTTTTAATTTAAATTTTTTTCCATAGGGTGCATGCACTTGCTGGAGAGAGAAAGAGAGAGACAGTGAGAGGGAAAGTGAATATCCTCTGGGTGGTGGTGGGTAGGAGGGATGGCCATGCTGCAATCCCTTTTTCCTCTATTTTCTTCCTTGGATCTTGGTCACACATGCACACATGCTTGGCATGATGTTGAGGCTACCAATCTGGGACTCAAACCTCAGTTAGTCATGTGGGAGTCCAGTGCCTTAATGACCATGCCACATATTGGCTAATGTTTTTATTTACTTTTTTTTTTTTCTTTTTCGTAGAGGGCATGTGCATTTGCCAGGTAGAGAAGAGACAGTAAAAGGAAGAAAAGAGGGAGGAAAGGTGAAAGCACCTCCCAGGAGGGCTTTGTCATACTGCAATCCTCCTGTCTCCTCCATTTCTCCATCCTGTCTGAATTCTGGGCAAGCACACCTCTCACCTAGCATGCTTTTCAAGCTGCTGGGCGTGGCATTCAAACTGCAGTCAGTCATGTGGGATCTGGCTACCTTAACCATTAGAATATAGGGCCAATCTGACATTCTATGTTTAAAAATGCTTTTTTTTCTATCTCACATGTGATTGATGGTTTGATTCTATTCAATCTTACAGTATAGAAAACAATTTCATTCAGAATTTTTCTTTCAGAGAGGAAAAACAAACACTCACAACCAATTGATCACACACAAAGGATCAAGAATAAAGGTAGCTGGGGCCAGATGGTGGCACAGAGGTGATGCAATTACACCCACATGGGAAAGGTTGGGACCGACCTGAGCATGCTGGGTGTGTGTGTGTGCACAAGATTATGGCCAGCTGAGACTGGGCATCTATTGGGGTTGCCTGTCTCTTTGTCTCTCTCTCTCTCTCTCTAAGTGTCTGTCTCTTATAGAATAAATGAACATATAAACTTAGAAAGAAAGAATGAAAGAGGTTCAGACTTCACAATAGCAACAATAGAAACCGAAAGAATATGTTGCTTATGCAATTTGAACAATTCAAATGTCTGTAGTTTTGGTGATTTTGGGGGGGAGGGAATACAATTTCACATATGCTCTTAATACCTACGTTTACTCAAAAGTCTCTATTTTTGTCTTTACATGAAAAACCAAGGTGCAGGACCAGCAGTTAGCATAATGGCTATGTCGCTGAACTCCCATGTAGCTGACCACGGTTCGAGTCCCAGACCTAGTGGCTTAAACTCACGCCGGGCACGTGTGCGTGCGTGCCCAAGATCTTGAGAGGAGAATGGAGGAGAAGGGATTGGGGCGTGGCCATCCTCCCTGGGTGGTGATTTCTCGCTTTCTGTCTCTCCATCTCTCTGTCTCTCTCTATCTTTCTGGAGAGCGCACACGCCCTGTAGTGGAAACCTCTCCAAAGAAAAAAAAAAAATAGAAACCAAGGTGCTTCCCGGATGAAAAGAGCCAGTGTTAGAGGGAGGGGACGCAGGGGCTCCCACTTGGCTCTCACTAAGCTTATCCTCATGCCTCACCCTGAATGAAGCCAGAGTTCTCGGACATACGAGTTGTGTGCAAACTCGTAAAACATAATACATGATAGAGTAAGGTTTGTGACATACAAAGCATTTGTTGACTAGAGCTTAAGCTGAGCAGGATACTGGCTCCCTAGGAAAGACATCTGGCAACAGCAACCACAGCATCTTCAGCATAGGACGTCAGCAGCACAGCAGCGAAGGCGTGGGGGGGAAGTGTGGAAGGACTTGAGACCCGCCTTCATCATAGAGCTCCTGCGGACTTCATAGTGCAGTTGCACCTCTGATTATCTGCAGCTTCAAAATGACCAAAATGGTAGCTGCACCTTGGCTACTAGCAGGAGCTCTTGGAATGCAGGTGGAAGTCTTCTTTGGGAACTCCTAGGGTAATTTCAAGGACATTTGAAGAGAGTGAAAATTCTTAAGGAATTGGGAAAAAAGAGTCATAAACCTTCTTTGTCATGTTGTTACAAGTCTTCAGTCACATTCATTCTTGGCGTTCCGGGGCATTTCTGAACTTAGTTGTGAATCTACGGTACTGATGCCTAATCTGTATTGACAATGCAGGTAATGTTTACATTTGAACAGAGAATTCCTATGGGATGTTTTGATCAGAAGGGACAAACTATCTTTTAAGAAGTTTATTTCTTTCTTTAATATGAGAGCGAGAGACAGAACAAAAGAGACAAGAGTCCCAGCAAAAGAGATAAAGTCCCAGCAAGAATCTTTTTTTTTTGGAGAGGTTTTTTACTATAGGTCACATGCACTCGCCAGACAGACAGAGAGAGACAGAGAGACAGAAAGCGAGAAATCACCCCGCAGGGGGGATGGCCACGCCGCAATCCCTTCTCCTCCGTTCTCCTCTCGGGATCTTGGGCATGCACGCACACGTGCCGGCGTGAGTTTTAAGCCACCGGGTCCCGGACATGAACCGCGGTCAACTACGTGGGAGTCCAGCGACATAGCCATTATGCTAACTGCTGGTTCCCCCAGCAAGAATCTTTATCCACTCCTAGCTTAGGCAGCCCCAGATCATGGGCACTCACTTGCCCAGTATTCAGGGAGGTCTTTGGAAAATTTCCATGTGGGTCAGCATCCCAGAATTTTGCATTGCAGCTTTGCTACTGCCTAGCCCTTGGATGAATTTTTATTTTATTTTATTTTATTTATTTATTTATTTATTTATTTATTTATTTATTGGAGAGGTTTTTGCCATAGGGCGTTTGCGCTTGCCAGACAGACAGAGACAGAGAGACAGAAAGCGAGAAATCACCCCTCGGGGGGATGGCCATGCCACAATCCCTTCTCCTCCATTCTCCTCTCAGGATCCTGGGTAGGCATGCACACACACCTGGCATGAGTTTTAAACCACCGGGTCCAGGATTCGAAGCACCATTGACTCCATGGGAGTCCAGCGACATAGCCATTACGTCAACTGTTGGTCCCTTATTTTTTAATTTTTTTAGAGATTTTTGCTATGGGGTGCATGTACTCACAGGAGAGACAGAGAGACAGAGAGAAATCATCCCTTGGGGGGGATGGCCACATCACAATCCCCTGTCTTCCATTCTCCTCTTTTTTTTTTTTTTTAAAGGCTAGTTCATTTCTTTTATTAACTCATAAACAATTACTTGTCTTCTGGTTTGTTGAAGCAGTAAGTCAGACATTTGCCACAATAATGTCTGTCAAAATGGCTGGCCATAAAAACTCCAACACTTCATCTAAAGGGCACTCTGACGAAGGTGACTCATTTTGCCCTTTTCATCCATTTTATAGTATTTCAAGACAGCCAGATTAACCTTCTTTCTCTTATGCTTATTCTTCTTGGGAGTGGTATAAGACTTCTTCCTTTTTTTAGCACCACCAGAAAGTCTCAACATGAGATGAGGCATGGACTCCTTCTGGATGTTGTAGTCAGACAAAGTACACCCATCTTGCAACTGCTTGCCACCAAAAATCAGTCTTTGCTGATCAGGAGGAATTCCTTCCTTATCCTGGATTTTGGCTTCTATAATTTCTATTGTATCCGAAGGTTCATCCTCAAGGGTGATGGTCTTCCCTATAAGGGTTTTTATGAAAATCTGTATCTTGATGGTGGTCCCACCACAGATGGCGGATCAGAAAGGAAGCTTCCATTCTCCTCTTGAGATTTTGGAAACCACATGTGCATGTGCCCCGTGTGACTTATAAGGCATTGGGTCCAGAGTTCGAACTGTGGTCTACCACATGGGAATCCCGCAACGTAACCATTATGCCATCTGCTAGTCCCGATCCCTGGATGAATTCTTAGTAGTAGAAATTTAGGCCCTGCAAGGGACCATTTCCTTGGGCCTCTCCCGTTTAGTATAATTGGCATTCCGTCTCCTCTTGTCATGTGTTTTCATAATGTCTCTTTGATTCTCCATCACTTTCCCTTTTTGGGGGGCTTCTGAATGATTTTCTGACTCACACAGTGGTACATGCCAATTGAAGCAGGATTTTATAGATGTACTTTTAAGGTACAGAGACTCCTTCATACTACTTAAAAAGATACAAAGAACACACTCTAACCAGATTGACTTCACGTTTCAGATGTTTAACAAATGTTATGAGCCAGACTGTGTATCTCAAATGTATATTTATATAGTTGAGCACCATCGAATGTGTCTTCAGGGTACTATTGTAAACAAGCTGTCAAGCCTAACTGGGTTATCTTGGGGGAAAAAACAACCCTTGTTGCACATGCCGTTTACAAACCTTGTAAGAAACATTCACTAATCGAATCGATTGGGTAACTTTAAAAGCATGGAGTACTGTGCTATGTGTTCAGAAATCCAAAGTTTAGCCCTTAGTCTATTTGGCATCGGGAAAGCTATTTGAAAAATGATAACTCAGCCCATTAACAGATTGTCTCAACATGTTTACAACTGTCAATGTGTTTTCCTTCCTTCCTTGCTCCCTTCCTTCCTCGCTTTCTTTCTTTCTTTCTTTTTAATCTTTTTAAATTTTTACCAGAAGTACAAAGAGAGAGACAGAGAAGGACAGAGAGATAGTATCCCCAATAAGGCATGGCCACTCTGTAAGCTTCTCCATTTCTCCACCTTGTCAGGATTTTGGGCACACATGGACACGCTTCTGGTGTGTTTCTTGAGCTGTGGGAGCCGGGATTGGAACTGTGCAGTCAGACATGTGAGACCAACCACCAGGCTGTGGAGCTGGCCCGCTTCACTCTTTTCACTGAATGAAATAGATTTTTAGTCATTATATAATAATAAGAATAAAAATCGGGAACCAGCAGTTAGCGTAATGGCTATGTCGCTGGACTCCCACATAGTCAACCGCGGTTCGTGTCCCGGACCCGGTGGCTTAGAACTTATGCCGGGTGCGTGTGCGTGCGTGCCCAAGATCCCGAGAGGAGAATGGAAGAGAAGGGATTGTGGCATGACCAGCCCCCCGGGGGGGGATTTCTTGCTTTCTGTCTCTATGTATCTCTCTGTCTGTCTGGTGAGTGCACGCGCCCTATAGCGAGAACCTCTCTCTCAAAAAAAAAAAAAAAAGAATAAAAATCAAACCTTGGATAAAGTTAATATATTAACTTTTTGATTGTCTGTTTTTGTTTTTACCAGTGGGTGTGTGTGCTCACCAGAGAAAGATAGAGAGAGGGAAGTGAGAAATCACCCCTTCTAGTGGGATGGCCACTAAGGGATGCAAACCATTTTCCTTCATTCTCTTCTTGGGATATTGGGCATGTACACACACAAACACACACACACACACACACACACACACACACACACATATACACAGCATGATTTTCAAGCCACTGGGTCCAGGACGCAAACCATGGTCAGACATGTGGGAGTCCAGCATCTTAACCACCATGTTACCTGCTGGCCCAAAGTGAAAACAGTTACTTTTTAATTCTCCTTCTTTTGTTAGAGATTAAGTAGCCTTATTCCAAACATTTCAAATTTCTATGATTAAATCTAAAGTTATTTCCATCTTGAAAACACTAGAATTCCTAAACTAAAATTTTTATTTTTCACATTTAATTTTAAGGCTTCTTTGTGAGGAAAAATGATGGAATGGGGGATTCTTCCTCACCAATATGGAAGTTTGGTGTAGGAGAGACCATAGATAGCCAAGGTAATCCAAGAAGACTTTCTGGAGGAAGGGAGCTTTGAATTAGGACTTTTGAGAGTAAAAAAAAATGTCCATTAATTCACTCAGACATATAGGACATTTAGGAAAACTGGAACAATGGGGAAAAATCTAAGCATGTCTCAAAAAACAAGGACTAAAACAATTCAGATAAGTATGTTTGTGTAAGTAGGAGGTTCCATGAAGGATCTTGTGATGACAAACCAGGAAAGACATTTCTGGTAGGGGCCTTACAAAGCTCCTCGTATATGCCATGCCAGACACTGCCATAGGCAATGAGAGAATAAGGGAGTTACAGTGTAGAATACATTATCAGAAGTCTTTGAACAGAGTACAGAAACTTAATAGTACAGGCTATGTGGAAAGGGGAAAATCATGAACCCTCAAAGGAGAATAACCAGTAGGCCTCAGTAAAAAGTGCTTTCCACTGTAGCCAGGGGAGATAAGACAAGCTTAAGGGGGAAACATTCCTGCATCATTGAGTTCCATTCATTAATTCAGCAGTATTTATGGAGCCCCTTACTCTGGATATAGTGCCATGTTAGCACAGAAAGGAGACTAGAATAGGTCTAAGAAAAGCATGGGGCTTCCTCTCAAGACATGTTGCAGAATAGCACAAGTCTGTCTGGAATGACCGCGCTCAGGGCACAAAGGGTACGTGACCTCTCTTGATGGGGCAGGAAGCTCTTGCGGCCTTCAGGTCCTCATTATGGGCATTGGCTATCTTTGAACTACAGATTTTTCAGAAGGGCCAACTATTAATAGACAGTAGAAAGCTGAGTTTACTGTAAGAGCTTGACAAATATAGATTTGAGATATCATTATACCGCCAATTGCTCTTCAGCCCACAAAAGCTTTGCTGGCCTTTGTGCATCCTTGTTTTACTTGGTCTCCTTGCGACAGAAAACAATTGGCTAGGGACAGAGCATACTCTGGATCTTTCTTCAAACACAGGTCACAAAATAAGAAATAAAGTCTATTGCTTAGGACCTAGTTTCTTATATTCATTTATTTATCATCTACCTTATTTTATTTTAATTTTTGAATTTTATTCACTACTTCCATGAGTAAGGGAGAGAGAGAAAGAGAGCAAGAGAACGCAGCCTCAACTGGGTTCTGGGCTACCACCCACCCGCAGCCTCAGTCAGCCTTGGATTATGGGCAGGCAGGCCTGGCACACTCAATGGGGTCTCTAGACACAAACCTGGGACCCTCCCATGTGGATCTGCCTTGCAGATCATCACATTTTACTGCTCCATCACATTCTGGCCCTTGTCTGACTTTTTCAAGGGCTAAACATTACTTCTTCATTCGTTGCTATTCTCCCCACTCCAAGCAGCCTAGAGCATTTGGATTTATACTTATTGTCATGTATGATTTACAAGCTTCCTCTTTGGAAGCTAGGTCCTCTCTAATAGAGAACTCTAAAGTCATGTTAGAGAAAGAGACCTTTATTAAATGGAGCAATAAACTGGTTACAGAGTCTCCTTAGCATGTTTTAAAGAGATTGTTGCGGGCAATAGAGTGTCTTCCAAATTCCAAGCATGTCTTTTTCAGTCTTTAATAATTATAAAGATGGCACAATTTTGTGATTATCCCAGTGATCAACTCACCCAGAAACAGAGCAAAGGACTCTTAAAATATTGTGCACACTATGGCTCTTTACACTCATAAAGGTTAGAATAAAATAGTTCAGACTAGAGAATTTTAGCTGTAACTTGCAAAAGACCCAAGTGATCCTGTGCCTCCACTTGTGAAAAAACTCAGATAAATTTCAGATAAAATTTTCAAGGGTAATATTACAGAATTTAGATTGCCTATGAATGCAGAGACAGAACATTGTGAATTTTTCAGTGAATAATAAATGTCAGTTTACAGTTTTCACTGTAGGGTCGAACTGCTTGTCTATTCCATTGTGGAATTATAGGTTGGGACTTGTATTTTCCTCCTATGAATCTATTTTTTATTACTTCAACTTTGTCCTATATTTTGTTACAAACTATTCTATTTTGTTTTCTTCATAGACTTTCTTACTTTAGATATTTATTTACTTAGAGGTTTGTTTTTTTTATTTCCCCCATAGGGCACCAGTGTTCACCAGAGACAGAGACAGTGAGAGGGAAAGGGAGAAATCACCCCCTGGAGGCGGAGGGCCACACTGCAATCCCTTCTCCTTCAATCTGCTCTTGTGATCTTAGGCACGCATGCATACTACCTGGCAGGATTTTCAAGGCCCCAGGTCTAGGACTTGAACTGTGGTGGGGTATGTGGAAGTTCAGTGACATAACCACTATACCATCTGCTGACCTCCACTATTTTAAAACATTGTGTTAGTATAATCTTTTCATGGTTTACCCTTTTTCATTTTAACTCTGGTTTTTAGGTCTTTTTTTCAGTCTGTAATTAGGTAAGTAAAAATTTTATCCATTTGTATTATGCTGAAGAAGTTAACATGAAGTTCTGCTTTCCTAATAATGCATTGTGGAACTAGAAGATGTAATTCACATTGCAAATGTGAGACTATCTGTTAGAAAATAGGGAGAAAATAATTAAGTCAGGGATCTACTAATAGTTGTAATATGAGGAATAGCATCTGTTAGTGTGATGTAGACTCTTGAGTTAGGTGCCTGTGAAAATATTAGCAGAAGGTGGTAAGTGGGTAGAAATTCAAGATTACATGATACTTATACCCCCTTTATTTATTTATTTATTTTTAGAGGTTTTTGCCTTAGGGCATGTGCTTGCCAGAGAGAGACAGAAACAGAGGCAGTAAGAGGGAAAGTGAGAAATCACCTCCCAGGTAGATGGCCACACTACAATACCGTTTCCTACACTCAGCTCCAGGGATCTTGGGCACACATGCACACACGCCCAGCATGAGTGTGAAGCCACCAGGCCTAGGACCTGAGCCACAGTTGACCATGTGGGAGTCCAGTGACATAACTGC